GGCGTGCAGGCAGTCTCCCCGTTTAAACGACCATCCCTTGAAGCTGCTCAATTGAATCCCGTCGCCGCATTGCGCCGAGCAATTAAAAAGTTCCGTACCTGTTGTCGCGAACGGGAACGCCGTCGCTTTAACGACAGTCGCCGATACCTCGGGGGCATGGTTATTAAAGGGATCGACCTTGAGGGAACAAAGATGGCCCAGATTCCCGTCTGGCGCGTCCGTTTTCCCGTCGGGCGCGCGGTTCCGGAGAAAATAGAAGGAGCGAGAAGCGGGGGAACACCGTCGAAGAAAGAAAGGAAAAATAAAATAAGACGAGGACCGCGTGTTCCAAAGAGGCTCGATTCCACTTTCCGCCCCCATCATCCGCCGTGTCTGTCTCATTAGCACTTCTGACCCTCGAGGGGGTGTGTGCGAGGCTCGCCGCGGCGAGAAAGGAAGCCGTGGCTGAATGCAGCTGCAAATGAGAGGCACCGGCGTCGATGCTGCCGCCGTGCCGCTGCACCCGGCCGTATGAAAGATGCAGAACCGCTAAATGAAGACCCGCGGTCACTGTGGACACCGTCGTGGATATCAGGGACGGACGGGGTGCTGGCTACGGCGCAACTAGGCCGAGACCGGCCGCGCTTTGATCAGGCCCCGGCCATCTTTCATTTTCTTCCGTTCGCTCGGCCGTACCGTCGCGTCGCATTCAATTCTTTCAAGCTGAAGCTCGAATAGATTAGGTGCACGCGTACTCGAACGCGCCCGGAAGGCCCGGCTCTCCTGCTCGAACTTAGGCAAGCAACTTCGTGAGATGTGCGGGGCTCCGGGCGCTCCGTGACCCAGAAACTTCCTGCGGTTTTCGCAGCTTCGAGATGAACGCGCGTATTTCACCGTCTCGGGAACCGTTTAGGCGCTGCCATCAACTTGCCACGTCGGTTTACACGGGAACGTCAACGATAGTCGTATTTTCGTCGGAATACTTTATCGCGCCGCTCGAGAAAAAATTACGGACCTGGACAAATTTTGGATAGAAATTGCACAACTTCGCTAGGCTGGCTTTAAGCTGCTGTAACTTCGCGGAAAACGTCGCAGCCAAGTTACTTTTTCTTTACCTTTTTAATTAAAGAGGGAGCATCGGGCTTCGTTCGGCTGCGAACGAATTTTCAGTATGGCGAATATGGCATTATATTTATAGGGTTAACGTGGCGAGACTGTGTCGAATTAAAAATCTGGAAAGACTGTCTTAAAGTAGAGATTTGAAGCTTTAATTTGAAAAAGAAGTGATCTTCCTGCGATGATTTCTCGCGGAGTTATCGTCGATCAAAGCCAACCAATTTTTATCAAACATTTTTCTATGCGATAATTATTTTAAGCAGTGTGATTACACACTTATTATTTGTATCACACGTTTATTAAAACGTGTACCATTGAACTGCTTATTGAACAAATGAAATGCGAAACAAATTATAAGTAAAAAGAAAATCGCATAAATTCGACAGTAAGAATGGTATGATAAACGTTACGTTTTTATAAAGCAAGCGATACGAGAAACGTTCATTCATCGAACAGATCACTCGAGTTATTATACAAGAAGGATACGAGTGTAAAGTACAATAAGAAACGAAAAACACTCGGTGATTAAGAGATCGGTGATTAAGAGGATATACATGAAGCAAATTATTAATAATCCTTATCACATGCGAGGAAGAAATAATCTGAAGCGAGAATTGTAATTAATGTCTCTCTACGAACGAGAAATAAAATCCCGTAGAAAAATTCATCCTCAAGACGGCAACAAAACGGTCGAACACGTTTCAGATTTCCCTAGCTGGAACCCGTATCTCAGAAATGGAAACGATCGAGTAACGGGGCGAATTTTTCCGGCGATAATAAATTAGCGTCTGTGGCTAGGGATTAAGATATCAGTTCGGCTGACACACGGTGCTTCGGAACCGTTATAAATTATGGCAATAACTGCACCGGGAGCGACACGAACGGGAGAATTTCGCGGCGGTCGATGATCGAGGGAAGTACCAACGCGAGAAAGTTCTCGCGATCGTGCAACGTAACGTTGCGCAATAGCCAGTGAACGAAATGCATGTTAAGGTGCCTGCCTGGTTGCCAGGTCGAAGGAAACGTGATCTTCGGCAATCTTTTTCTGAAAAAATCAATACGTCTTTTCAATTCACCGACCGTCGCAGCTGAAAGTACGCAGATTGCACAATCTGTAGAAATTTTTCTGTCGCGGAATATTGAAAAATGATCGAGTAACAGCCTTCCTTCCAGAAGCTGTTTCCAGCTGAATCATGTGACATACGAGATTCTGTTAACCCTTCGTCCGTGGGCAACGTGGCATTCGCGTTCTATATGTATTGTAATACGTAGAAAAAGAGTCGAATTTAAAGAATATTGAATTTTTTCATGTTTAAAGGAAACTTGTCCGCGGTCAGCTGATTAATACAAACAGCTTCTGGAAATTCTGAAAATTCTCATTCAGTCATTTTCCAGGATTTTCCATCGGAAAAATTGCTGCAAGCAGCACGATGTATGTACTTTTAACTGAGACATTCGTTCAAGGAAAACAGCCGCGTCAGTTTTTCCAGAAAATAACGACTAAAATTCGCAATTCCGTCGGATCGTCGACCTCTTAAAGGCAAGGTGCTTCGGACACGCCGAACGATTCTTCTGCACGAGGAAGCTTCACGTAAAATATTCGAAGAAACGTGTGAATATTGCATCCTGAGATATTCATACCCGTCTCAACTACAGGCTCCTGCATTATATCTCAGGCGCGAGTGCCGTCAGAAGATTTAATAAACGGGAATATTCCACGGGCAACAGTTCCGATCCACGTCTTCCTCTTCCTTGATGTTTGACTGCCGAGAGATAAGGCCGCGGCAGAGGCGAACTACTTCAAACCTCCGAACTTGTAATTGCCTTCAACTCAAACAAACTTTTCAAAATACCCGGAGACCTCGATATTGGGTGTCGGAGATAACGGCGTCGACCCTGGCCCGCGGTCTTTGATGGATGAGTCCTCCCGCGGCTGTATTAATTGATGCCGCTCGAACCCTTCCGTTCTGTATCATTCTCGAATGTGACGTTTGACGAACGAACGTGAGTGGCTTTCAATGTTTTCCCAGGCGTATACCGATCTTCTGTTTCAATTCCGCAGCCAGCGGTTCGAGAGTTAATTCTTTTCCAGTTTACGATGGTACGGTAAATTTTCCCTAATTTTCCTTCGGTTTGCAGAGAAAAATGGATAATTTGCGAGAAGGAGATACGATTATTCGAGTCTCGTGACTCATTTTTACAGTCGTCGATTGTTTACAATTGTAAAAACGAGGTGCGAGGCTCGAGTAATATAATAGTATCTTCTCTCCCTAAATTATTCATTTTTGTTTACAAGCTGAAGGCAAATTAGGGAGAATTTACTATATAATTCTTTTAATACTGGCCTAAATTTTTTATCATAATAGAGGTACTACACTACTAGTTAATAACAATAGTAGCTTTCTTAAATGTTATTATTACTTGGTACGATTATTGTTGAATATTACTTCTGAATATTTGTGAATATTGAATATTTACTATATAATTCTTTTAATACTGGCCTAAATTTTTTATAGATAATAGAGGTACTACACTACTAGTCAATGACTATAGTAGCTTTCTTGAATGTTATTATTACTTGGTACGACTATTGTTGAATATTACTTCAAATCGGTTGACCTTAACATAAACTGCGAACAATTAAGATTGTGCAAATTGCAGTATTTCACGAATTTCAACCAAAAGCAGGTAATTTTTACATCTTTCAGTGAATAAAAGTTTCAGCATTTATATTAGTTATCGATCATCTAAACAAAATACAAATAATTCAGTCCAATTTCAAAAAGTTATACTGATTTTCAAGTGTCCATAAGAATATGGCCGTCATTGTACACAATTGAACAATATTCTTCACATCAACAAAAATTGTTGAAGCAACAGAAACCCTTTACATCGTGCGTGTTTACCACAATTGTGTTTGATCGATCCAATAACAGCAATTCTACTAGGAGTTATGGAAACATCTGTGGAATTTATGGACACTTTATAAGACGTAGCTATGAAAATTCATTTCAAAGATTGATAAACGAAGCTGCAAACAATTCGAACCTCCTAAACGTTTCCAACTGCGAGTCGGCGAGTGTAAAAGACCGATGCTCTAACAATAAATAGTCACAGTGCAGGTTCGATTCTAAAGACTGCTCGAAAGATTGAACTGTGTCCACATTTGTTGACGCAGCTCGTTACCATCATTTTAAATCCTATCGAGGTTCCAAGAGATGTTAATAACTTCTTCATAGGCAACCGCCACCAAGCGAAACCTTCACAATCCTTCTCAGGGCGATGACCGTGACGGTAAATTAAAAAATACTTGACTCAGGAGATTGGTACCTAAACATTCGCCTCGTCTAGGTTCGTTTGGACAACAAGTAATGCTTCAGACAAAGAAATATTAATCGTGAACAATCACCATCAAAACAAACCTTCAGAATCCTCCTTAACGCGATGACCGTGATGTTGTATCAAAAAAGTCCCTAAAGCATGATATCGGTACCTTATTCTTTGATAGCAAGAGATAGAGATCTCAGCGACTGTTTCACGAACGATCACCGCCGGATGAAATCTTCGCAACACTTCTCCGCGAGTGACGACCTTGACGGTACATTAACAAATCCTCGAGATAGGAGATTGGTACACTAGACAAAAAATTCGTCTTATCTACATCTGCTCGACTGACAAACGATAGCGAGATAAAGACGCATTAACAACTGTTGCATGAATAATCATCATCATCATCAAGCGGAACCATCGTAATCCTTCCCAGGGTGACGACCTTGACGTACATTTAAAAAGTAAACAGTAGCTTGACACCGGATTGCAAGCAATGCCTATATTTTTGACGGTGGTAAGAGCGAGTAATACAGAGTAGACAGAGTGGACAGAGTGGACAGAGTGTTTGGACTCACCGGATTGTTGTTGAGCGCCGAGGTGGACGCAGCGGTGGCGTGCTGGTCGTAATCCAGGTAGTCATTCCGATGATGCCGGCCGGACCCGTGTCTCTCCCTGTCGTCCCTGTCGTCCCGAACGTCCCGGACGTCGCGGACGTCCCGAACGTTCCGGACGTCCCGCACGTCCCGGTCGCGCAGGTCCCGGAGGTCGCGGAGGTCGTGCTGGTTCAGGTGGTCCCATTCACTGTGAAGCTGCCTGGACATCGCCGACGGCTCCTCCTCCGCCGAGTCGAGCAGCAGCTGCTCGACTCCGCCACCTCCAACATCGGGTCCGCGCCGGACGGGATAACGCCGGATGTCACACCATCCTGCCTCCTCCTCCGCCCCTCCGGCGGCCTCGTCGAAAGGCAACCGAGCCGTGGCTGGGGCCCTCACGACCGATCTGCCACGAACCTCCTGCCCCCGCGGCCCCCCGGGGGGCTCCACCACATCACACCTGAACGCTACGCTTCGCGGACCCCTCACGACCCAACTCTTCTGCTCGCTCGAACCCCTGGATGTCTCGCGCGCGACGCGCTCCCGCTATGACCCCGCGCCCCTCGCGATTTTGCCACGATACCGCCGGTAATTCCGCGTTCAGCCTCGAGGATTCTTCACCGGGGACGACGTTGGACGTGCAGCAGCCTGCTGACCGGGAACCCTCGAGTATCTGCAAACAGAGGCGACCGGTTAGGCGATCGATACCGCGATTTCAGACGTTTATCACGAAAACGTGTGGCGGAGTGTACCGGAGCCGGCTACCGTCGGCCAGTGTTGCCACATCCGAGGATCCTCCTGCGGATCTATGCACTTTTAACCTTCCCGACGGATCTACCGACCTCGAGCCGAAATCTACGGACTTTTCGCAGATCCTCCTTACCTTCGAACGATAGTTTGTTTCTCGTTCTTTTTCTTTATTTTTCGGACGTGTGCCGCGTTATCCAAGGACCCACGAGACATTTTAGCTTCAATTTACATACATAAGAGGTGCGCGGATTTGTTAAAGCGGATCTACGGAAGTCTACCGACTTTTCAGCGTTGTTAGCAACGATTTTATAGTATTTTTTAGCGTATTTAGCGATTATTCGAGGTGGCAACACTGCTATGGACTCACCAATTACTGTGCCTTTGGTTTATTTTTTGGCACAATTAATCTTATGTTAATTTTATGCTGTTAATTTTTATTCTTTTATTTTGATTATCTTTTAATAAAAATATTTAATACGCTTTATTAAATATAAATTCTTCTATTTTGTTTATTTTTCGATACAAAAAGAAGTTAAATTAGTTAATCATGCCCGACAAGAAACCAATGGCACAGCAATTGGTCATCCCACATTAACCGGCTCCATTACTCTACAGTGGAAATTTCGTTACACAAATCCCTTTAATTTAACGTTTCTGTTGTCCAAATATTTTTTATACGTACATAAATATACTGTGTGATTTTCTTAGTAGTTATTCACTGCAATTTTTGGAAGTATCGCGGTAGCTCGATATCCTAAGCAGAGCGACAAGAAAGTCTCTGTATGCTAAATAATGGAAATCATACTAACAATCCGCTCATTTTGTTGAAAACACTGTACGAGTTCGAGGGAAACGAAAACAATGTTTGTTCCGACGATTTGGGAGAAGTCTGTTCAAGCCTGCGTTCTGATTTTAGTGCTTTAATCGAGTTTACCAGGAGACAGAAACTGGCACATCAATTATTTTGTCTATTAATATTAGTACGGAATTTCCGTGTTTGTCCTGCTCCGAAGTTCGTCAATGTTCCATCCGAAACGATCTTAAAACCCTAAGAAATAGCACAGCTTCGATTTCAAGGATTTTCCAGTTCGCATAATTTTGCAGAGCCCAGATCGTCGCAAATAAAGACATCAGTTTTCAACATCACACTCGCACGTATCGATTCACGTATGTTCCGACACCACTATTTACGTAATGCCTCGTGCAATAAAATCCCAGCTGGAGATCATAACGCTGCTTCGACCGATTTACTTCGCAGGTGTCAAAAATAATCGCCGATGACCAGTGTCCGTCGGTAAATTATTTATAAGCTTACATATTTCCGTATCGATCGATACGCTTCTCTCCGCTTAGTATTTTAATCCTCGTACACTTCACAAACAAATAATTGCACGGAAGCACCTCCTACGCTTCGATTAAAGTATTTATACAGTTGATTCACAATCTTGCATTTCGAACAAGTTGCAAGTTGCCGCACGACCGTCGAAAAATTGCGAATTTTTCAGAACCTAAAAGAAACGCGAAACTCGAAACCCGTGCGAGGCTGAAGTAACGGGGATTCGCTTGGACAACGTCCGAAGGATCGCAGGATTGTCGAACGTGCACAGGCAACAAGCGCAGTTTAAATTCGATACGGGTAAACAATTGGAGCACCTCGTCGAGAAATAACACCATGGACGTGTTGCCACTCACACGACGAAACGAGCCGGTCGCGATGAAAGCGAGCGATGCAGGCCGCCGAGCCTATACAAGATCCCCGCAGACTTTGGTGCACGACATAACACTGCCGCAGCCACGTAAGATGTAAATTCAATTTCTGCACCGTCGCCAGACGCCGAGGCGGATAATTCAATTTAATTTTAGTGAGCCAAGCAATTTTGACACGGCCGTCACGTGCTCCGGTATTGTCGCAGCAGTCCTGCCGCCTTCTAGTCGGTGTTTCCTTAGCGTCCTTTCATGTTTACATTCCTTTCGTTTCGGCACGGTAAACTATGTTTGCGTGCCGCGCTCGCACACAGAATTACTCAAACAGCCTCGTCCAATTAGCGAAAAATGTCAGCGCGGAAAGATTCGTAATTCAGCCTTGCATAATTAACTGATCCTTTCTGTTTAGCCAGTCCGCTGTTTCCGCAGGAACTCGGAGATCTTTGTGCAGCGTGAAGATGCTCCACAGTCGATCCGACTTAGAGATTTGTGAATCAATTTTTAATGAAATTATCTCTTCGTACTAGAAATCTGTTTGTTTTTTTCTTTAAATCAGGCTTAGAGTTTTCGCTTTATATTTTGTCAATATAGTTGGGTTTAATCCGTATTTGTTTCTTTGTTTTGTCACGAGACTGGTGTTAAACTAAAACAGTCCAAGGTGAACACTCAAAATTCAGCGAACGAATTTTGTAACAGTAAGACGATTAACGGAATTTAAGAATGCCAATGCGTTCGAAATGATTTCAAGCTGTTGCAATCACTTTGAAAAATGTACGCGTGGCCTTCTGTGATACAGAATTAAATTGTAACGACGTGACTGTTTTATTTTTCGACCATTAACCGAATCAAAAGCTTCTTTTTGGTTTTATTAACCGAACCAATTAATTGTTTTAAACGTGTATACTGCTAACTGGTTAAACAATAGTCTATTAATCACTAGACTATGGCTCCTCGTGCAAAATAAACATTTTCGTAGACGACCGCAAAAATGAGATTATCAATAAATTATTTCCATCAATAATTTCAAGATAAATGGAAAGTAATGGAACACTGTCGTCGAACTCATCTTGTGTCCTCGCGAATTCGTATTCCAGCACACTAATTTTCGCCAACAAATACGTAAACACTCCGCAGCCTAATCTGTGCAAGAATCAGCATCGACGTCAACAGAAATTACGCAACCGGTTCATCAATGAACCAAATTCGTCAATGGAAATCGAACCACCCCATTTCTTTCATTGACAAATGAATCGTTCCGTTCCTGCCAAACTTTTTCGTCCCCCCCTCCCCTCCCCCCAAAACCGTGGTCAACAGCGAACGGCTGGAAAATTGCGCGATAACTTCGTCAGAATTTCTTGACCGCGATGCAACGTTTAAAACCGTCTAACGGAGGACTCGCGAATAGCTTCTACCAGCCTCTAAATATAGCGGCAGTTAATAATAATAAACAATCTAGAGATTGTTACTCCGTGGGCGCATATAAACCTCGTTCAGCAAAAATAAACGTATCCCCGAGCCGGTGGTGTTCCGTAAACACCAGCCATCGCGCGAATTCCCGAAATTTCTGAAAAATGATCGTACGCTGCATGGAAAGTATCGTTCCAGCGACGAAAAGTGGTCCAGCCCGATCCGGCGGATCGATGGCCGTTAATTAACGTTATCGTTGGAAGACGTGGTCCGCTGATAGTGACATACGCGAGCACCTCTCTGCCAAGGTCAGACCCGACCATTCGAAAGTTATGGCAGCCCCGCACCGTTACCTTGAGGCAGCTAGGCGCGGAAAGCGAAAGAGAGCAACCTATCGGTGGGAACACTTTGGACACCGGCGATCGCCTAATTGCGGGAAATCGGGACTGGACAAAACGATAAACCGTTGCGTAAAGTCCTCTGCCTTTGGTTCCGATCTCTCTCTCTCTTTCTCTCTCTCGCTCTCTCTTTGGGAGCGGAGAGAGGGTGGCAACGAAGCTCGCCCAAGGTGGGGTGAGTTGAGGTTAGGTCACGCCGCAGACCGCGAATGTAGGGTTGTGGGTCGCGCCCGGCCGAGCTCAGCTGCGCTGCGACCTAAAGGGGTTGCGGCTGGTCTGTAGTCAGACACGGTCGAGACAGCGGTTAGCATCTCGGCAAAAAAAAAAAGAAATGAATGAGACGACAGGACTGAATGGTATAAACTGCAGGTTGCACCAGGTAGCGCGGTCCACCTGATCGGGTACGCTGGCCAGCGGCTGGCTGGCCAAGTAGAATGCGCCGTTCATGGTCAGACCTAGCCGGAGAAGCGGTCGAGCCGCTCGGGTATCGTAAGGGCAGTGTCTCGCGGTCTGTCAAGATATCTCGATTCCGTGAATTGGAGCTCGTTGGGAATGAGTCTGTCTGTGCTGCCTCGAAGGCGCAGTCCACAGGGATCGCTCGTTCGCTGGCACCGCTACGACGAACATGGAGATGGCCAGGACTGAACCATTTTTGGAAACTTACTCGAATTTCCGTTCGCGAGCTGGTGTCCTCTCGCAGCACGACCTATCGAAGCTACAGACGATCACAGCACACGGTTCACTTTCGCGCGCGGCTCACGATATCACCGGGATACCGAGCTGATGGCGCGGCTGACGGGTTGCTCGCGACGTATACTGATTTCCGCGTGGACGATCCGCGGCTAGAAAGTGTCGACGACGTCGAAACGACGGTGACGGTTGGGGCCGTGCTCGCGTCGACGGCTGCTGCTACCGCGACTCGCGCTACCTCGGCCGGTCTCGGCCGGCCTCGTCCCCTATCGGTTCCCCTCGGCTCTTGTATCGTGACGTCGCGCGGGGACAAGAAAACCCCGGCGGTGTTTGGTATCGATCGCATGCGCCAGCGCACGCGAGCTACGCTGCGGACCGTCAACACGCGCCGCTCGCCACTGGCGTGAGGGTTGCCAGACACGTGGCTGCGTTTCCGCCTAACGATTGTTTTTCTCTCAATCGACGCTACGGACCGATCCGCTCGTTTCCTCTCTGCCTGGACCCGTCCCATTGATCCTCCAACTCGCTGCAATCTTTCCCACCGAGCCCTGATCCTAGCCGAGATGACCTTGCGTTGCAGAAAATCGCGATGATTCCCGAGCCGTTCTGCTCGCCGCGCATGTTCCCGACTTTCGGCGTTTTTTTCGCAGGAAAGTACGGAAGAGTTTGCGGTCGGATTTTTTTCTACGTTCGCGGCGATCATTCGACCACGTGCGCGAATTTTTTGAACGGGGGACAATCGTATTTCTGGTTACTATCCTCGATTAGATCTTCGTAGTTTTAGCTCCAAGGCGAACGTGCTGCGATTCGCAGCTCGTGATTGTCGAGTTCGTGAATTTTTTTCTGAGAATATATGAAAGCTTTTGATACGAGACTTTCGAGTGCTGTTTCGACCACGTTTGGACCAGGTTTGCAAATTTTTTGATGGAGGAAGGACCGAAATTCCGTCTGATATTCGCGATTAACCCTCGAGTGACACGATGCAGCCTGATGTTGGCTCGCTGATTATTATTAACTTTGAGATTTTTTTGCTACGAAACCATGGAAGCTTTTAATATGAGACTTCCGTGTGATGTTTCGACCATGTTTGGACCAGGTTTGCAAATTTTTCGGTGCCAGAAAAATCAAAATTGCGTTCGTTATTAGCGATTGACCCTCGATTGACACATTTCATCGCGACGAGAGTTTGCTGATTATTGTTGACTTTGGAATTTCTTAGCTATGCAACTGCAAAATCTTTAATGTTAAATATTCGCGCACAGTTTTATCCACGTTTGGACCAGGCTCACAAATTTTCCGATCAAGAAACGATCAAGAATTAAAGAACGGCAGCCAGGATAATATGTCATCCGAAACAGCAGAAGTCGTCTTATTGATTCTTGACCCTTTCCCGTTACGAAACACGGCTTCCCCGGGATGCAGTGTTGATCCGAAGTGTCAGGGGATGTCCTTGCGGTAGTTTTATCTGTTGCGACAGCAGCTCGCGATGGTCCGGGGTTAAGCTTTCGCAAGATGACTTGTGCGGGGCGCGCTCGGAAGCTCGATGGTGGCTCTCAAGGTATTAAATTCTTCGAGTTTAGGGCCGGGACGTCGAAGCGTTCGTAAAATTTCGTGCTCGGTAATTTCTCGGGTAATTTCCTGCGTTGTCGTGGAACAATTGTGATGAATTGCGTTACGAACGAAATCGATTTGTTTGTCGCTGAGCGCAGCGTTATCGCGGAATTCATTACACATAGTTTCGAAACGCAGCGATATGCGTGCGTCGTTAAGCTGTTTACCGCGAAGTAGTCATTAAGACCGGAGCTTTTCATTTAATTACGCGATATCAGCTCACACTGAATACCATAGTCTGAGCTGCCTGGTCTAATTACCCGACGCGATGCAATTAGGTAAACGGACCGTGTACGCTCCTAAATAACAGCTCGAAATTTCGCTTCGCTGGAACTACCGATAAAAAACATCGAGACTTGGCAGACTCAATGATCGGTCGCCGATATAAACACTCTTTCAAAGAACGCTAAGTAAAGCGTCCTCCTCCGATATTTTTCGTTTCCACATATGTGCTAGTACTAAAAAAAAAAAACTGAGCGACTCGTGCTTTTCTATATTCGCCGGTAATTCGACACAAAGGGGGCGAAACCTACCCCGAAAGTTTTGAGCGTGACATTAGAATTCAAGAGAATTCTGTGTTCACCCCTTTAAGCCGAATTACCGCCGATATAAAATAAAAGAAACACGTGTCGTTCAGTTTTTCGAATGCTACGACACATGTGAAAATAAAAGAGGAAAATCAGAAGGGGACACTTACCAACTGCTCCTTGTTAGTACCGACCAGAAGATTCGTGCGTACCTGATCGAAACCTGTCAAACCTGTTTGACGTAGTTCGATCGAGTTTCGGTGAAGAAATAACAAAAATGTTGTGAAACCTGACAATTAGAAAGTTCAAAAACCAGAAAGAAATAGCAAAAAATGAAACTGTTATTAATAAAAAAAAAAAAAAGAACATTGAGAAAACACCGATACACCGTTCCGCACTAAAAATGTTAAGACAGCTCTCCAGGATACGAAAGAAGAGTTACTTGCATTTCCATTGCTCGTCGGACGGACTCACGCATCGAGCGACGAAAGCAAACGAATGCGTCGGGACCTTCCACGGACGGACAATCCGAACTCTATAGCACAGTTTACCCAGTGCCAACTCTCAAGCTACCGACGATACTCGAACCACCCGGGGTCTAGACAGGGTGCACGGGGGTTAGCGCCAGCTGCGCCCGTGACATCTGACGGAGGGCGGAAGAAGTGGCACGAAAGAAGGGCGAAAAGCCAGGGAACAGTCTGCAGTTTTCTAGCGTGGCTGGCCACCCTCCTCGCGGCGCCCCTTGGACGCCCGGAGCTTTCCTTACCGACCTTCAGTGATAACGTCAGAGCCGCCACCGGTGATAAAGATGCCCGAAGCGGGCGCCGATCGAACGTTATTGATCGCAGGAACAAATGGCAAAAACACTAAGAGAGCCGCGTAGTGCGCTACGCGGTGCTGCAAGCTGGTGGCTAGATTCCGAACACGAACTTTGCAACCACCGTTCGACGCCCGACACAAAGGAGGCACCGGACGACGTCCCACAAAAAATTGCAGGATCTTCGGGGAAAATCGTAAATGATCGAAAACAGCGATATAATTAATGGGGAGGGGAGTGTCAGCCCATATAGAGTTCTTCGAGGCACCTGCCGGCAGGAGCCGCCATCGATCACGGCTGCGGTAAATCCTGGTCGGGTGCTGGACGTCGCATAACTTCCTGTCGCAGGCGGTCTTGTAGCATGATCGGGACGCGTGTACCGAGCGAGGCGGGCAGCGTCTGCGTGCGTATCGTGACGAGGAGCGTTCGAGGCGGCTGGCAAGCCAGCGCCAGCGCCAGCGGCGTGGCACGTCCATCATCCCCGCAGCTACGCCGTAAGGTGGCAACGTTGCTCTCGCGAGAGTGGTTTAGAGTTAGGCGCAAGGGGCAATGCTACTGCTTGGCTTGCTCGACTAGCCTTTGGCAGCTGGAGGGGAGGCTTGCCAGCGGTTAGTAGCGGAGCGTCGATGGTGGGGGATGAGACGCTACAGAGGAACGGAGGGGAAATTGTCGGATGGCGGGGATCGCGGCTGCGATGGTGGGGATGCCGAGGCGTTGGTGGAAGCGAGACCGTGCTAGGATAGAGTAGGAGAGGAGTAGGAGGTGGAGAGGGAGCGAGAGGCCGCCGAAAGCGCATAGCGGCCCATAATTCGGTGCGCCGCCCCGCAATCAGGTTCGTGCTCGATGTTTCTAACCGCCTCGCTCGTCGCAGCCGGGAGAGAGAGACGGTAGTGCACGTTTTTACGTTTGCCTGTCAGGCTCACCGTCGACCGAGCGCTCTGTTGTACGGTCCCGGGTGTCGGAGCCACGGTATACTGCGACCTCCTTTGTCGTGTCTCGATCTCCTCGCTGCGTCGCGCACCGCACCAAAGTCGCCGCATCGAATTGGATCGAACCGCGTCCTCGTCTCGACTCGTCTCGTCGCGTCGCGTCGTCGTGCCCGTTGTTTATCTGCGGCAGCTGGCTGACGAGCACACATCGCGCGGAAACCGGAAGCCCGATCGGTGGTGGCATCCAGGACACACGAGCGTGAGGGGAGCACGCCGAGAAACGGAGAAAAAGTTCGCTGCCAGAAGGGTGAACGCGCGGCGCGGGTCTTCTTGCCCTGCCTCGCCTCGCCTCGCCTAGCCTCGCGGATCCGCACCGATCCGCGCGCGTCTACGCCTGCTTGCCTGTCTGCCTGTCTGCCAGCCAACCATTCAGTCAGTCGGTCGATCATTCAGAGTCAGTGCCGGTTCGCTACGCAACAACTACGGACGTTCTCTGTTTACCAGCCGCTGCCAGTTCTCCTCAATGGTAGAATTTCGTGTTGCGACCGTAAGTGACGGGGAGAAGCGAAACGACCACCGATGATACCACCGTCGTCCACCCGTTGGTGATACTGTGACCATCGGGGCCAAGGGGAAATATCCATCCGTTCATGGCGCGGCAGCCAAGGGGAATGTGCCGCCGCGCGGACTCGGCCCAGTGATTTGAAATATAATTCGTGAATCTTGCGTTGAATCGGTCGTTGCCCGATTATTTTGATCAGTCCACGACGCTCTGATTTTGGTGATTGTGTGCTGGTTCCCGGTAAATCGTCGACCGCCGATCTCATCATCGGTCCCGCAGCCTCATCGTCGTCCTGCTCCGCCACACGTCTGTCACGTAAATATACACAACAAACACACACACACACATATACACACGAACGCATCACACGTTCCGGCATCCACGTAAAACTGCATACCCGAAAATCGACGCCGACCAACCGCCTCCTCTCTTCCCTCTGTCGCACGTGCGTGCACGTGCACCACCGGGAGAGCGCGTAACCGCGCCGTTACACGGCTCTGATTATTAACGAGTTACTACCGCGATACTAATTAAGTTTAATCGCAAGGCCGCCGTTCGTTAAAGTTAATTGCACGATCGACCGCGGCCCACGTAGTTAACTACGCCGTCGTGCCCGTTCACGGCTCTGTGCGTTAACTTTTATAGAAATTACGCACCGACGCGCCGCGCCGCGTCGAGCCCCGCCGCACCGCCGCCGGTTCCCGATCCTCGGACAAATCGACGATCATCGCCCCGTTTCGCGGTTACTTTCGCCAAAAATCACCGCTCCGAAGCAAGCGCAATCGTTGCGCAATTTGCGCACCAGAAGTTATCGCGCGATCGTAGTTTGTCGAAAAACAGCATTCTCGCGCTTCGAACGATCATCTCGTACGGAACAAAAGATTTTGGGGGATCGAGTGCGAGATCCAGCATACGCGGCTCGTTTCGCGCTTCGGCGTGTTACGTTGTTGCATCGCAATCGATTCGCTAAATCTTCTCATGCATTGCTCGCTCGGTTTTTCAACAAATACGCGGAATCCGCGGACCGCTCGTAATCGTCTCTGCTTCGCGGTTTAGCTGATTTATGATTCACTACGCACTCCATTCTAAGTGACCGTCATGATTACAACCAGTATTCAAACGTAGAAAACAGTTTCAAGAATGATACGACATCTGTGTCGCACGTTGTCTCTGTGTCCGCGTAAACAGAAACACATTCGACCCGATCCGGAGCACAGAACGGGTGGCCCCCGATGCTTTCGACAATTGTACGTTGTTCAGGATCGCGTTCTGGAACGAACGAATAATTGAAGACTCCGATGCAAAAGTCACGTCCCGGGTTTGCGTGGCGAAATAACGTAGAACTTCAACTAGCAGATGCGGATTTATTTACACTGCTCGAGATCGAATGCTTTCGTCGATTGTACATGTATTGATTGCAGCGAGATCTATTTAAGCAACAAGATTCTTATTTTTTGGGGGGGAATTTTTCATTTCTTTTTTTTTTTAAAGCAATTCAAAACAGTAAACACTTTATCTGCTAGATGCCTATTAATGGATTTTCAATTATCGTGCTACGCCAAGAGAAATCTAAACAATCCTTTTCTGTATAATATTCACAAATAATATTATTAGTTATTATATAATAATATTATTAGTTAATATATAATAATATTATTAATATATAATAATATTATTAGTTAGTATATATTATAATATTATTACTTGTTGATTCACGAGCAAAATAGTTATCGCCACCGAACAATTTATTAAGCAGTTTCTACCTGTGAATTGTAGACATTTCAAAATCACAAAACGGTCACGTTGAGTGCCGCGTCGGATACAAATGCGTGACACTAATTTTTCACTTGATTCCGAAATTCATTTTTATGTATTCGATGAAATATATTCCTAGGATTTTTAGTATGCGAGAAAGTTAAAATTATAGCTACTATGGTCTATTTTAACTGCCCCGTTTCGGTTTCGTGAACACTAGATTTACGGAACCCGTCACACTGACGGGTCACTAATTTATCTAGTTAGTTATCTATTAACTATCAGTTATCTATTCAATTTATATGTTACTTACCGCAAATCTTACAATAACACCTGTTAAAAATCAGAATAAATGTCTTATTGTTACTTTGATAAACTAATATAAAACAGTTGTTTTTTCGTGCTCCGTGAATCTAGTGTTAATTACGAATTTTTAAACCTAAATGTGTATCGGCTCGGTTCTCGCAGCGAGGACTCCGACGATGCCCGCAATCGCGTCCATGATTTCGATCGAAAAGAGCAACGGAAGGGTCTCGCACACATCCAACCGAGCCCGGCAGTCGCGACATGATACGATTCATGTTTCTTCTCGTGGTTTACGATGGCCTTAGATTTCTTTCGCGCCGAGCCGTTGCTTCACGGACACGTACCATTGTATCAACTCGCGCAGGCTAGATCCAAGAATATACCACGTCTATTGACTCGCGCGACTCGCTCGAACGATCCAATCCCGGCACGGCGACTGCGTTTTTGTCGGCCGAAATCGAAGCGTTTCCCAGGGCTGCTCCGTATTATCGCCGATTCCTTCCCAATTATCTCGGCCGTGATTAGACGCCGGCGACCGGATGCTACTTACCCGAGCAGCTCGTGTTAATCGATGCTCACCGATTAATCGAGCACAGCTCGAAAAAGAAGCATGGTAATTGAGACGGATCCCGTGTACACATATCCGTCTCCTTCTCGCCGCAGTTAATTTCTTCCAACACGAAGAGACCGATCTCATGGTCACGATTCATTAATTTATCAGGCAATTCATGGCTCGGTTCTATGAAAACATTGCTTTACCGGGAATTCTTGAAACGGCTCGAAAATGTCCTCCATTAATCTGCGCTACGCCGAGACACGCTCAATGAAATCTCGCTTTCAGCGATTAGTTACGTCCGTTTCGGCGGTTTACAACGCCGGCTTGTTTGCAGAACGCCGCGTTTTTCGTAATTAACTTCCGCGTGGCGCAGGTTACGCTACGTACGTCAACAACTAATTCAATTTTCTTCTAACGAGCCAACGATAATGCGCGCGTATCACAAGCGGGATATTACAATTTTCTCTCGGACGAGGTTTTCCAATTCTTCTGCAATTCTCTTTAAACGATTATTTGTGCACGCAGCGTTTTCACATCAGTTTCGTTGCATTCGCAGGATTACCGTCTTCTCGTAGACGCTTCTTTCCTTCTCGAAAATATCACTCAACCCTTTCAGATTCCGTCGCTATTATTAATGTTAATATTAACACAACGTTCACGCGAATTGACTAGGTTTCATTTTTGTTGTAGTAAGTTCAGACCAATAAATTTTACCAGGAAGATTTTAACTTTCCGGATTCAGTATTGTTGATCAAATTGCTTAGATCTTGAGGAAATTTTTCGAATCGATTTTCGATACTTTGGCTGCCAACATCGCCGGTCTGTGGGTGGTGGAATTAGCCAAGTAATTCTTTCACCTCAATTATACTTGTAAACAAGTATAAAGAAATATTTCGAAAGAAAGTTTTACTCTCTTGTATCTTAATAATTCTTTATTCTGTATCTAATAGTCTTTCGAATTGCACGGTTAATTGCACGGTTAATTGCACGATATACTTAAAAAAATTCAAAGTAACCCTAACATTTGTCTAAACACATTTTTGTGCAACATGAATAAAAGCGAAGGTGGAAGAATTAACCCTTTGCGCTCGAGTGGTGACTCCGAGGCACCGCTGAAATTGTTATAAATTGTTATAATTGTTATAAAGTGTTCCAAGATCATTTTTATACGAAGAAAGTTCCGATTGAAAAAGTTGTTGGAAGCATAACTGTTGCACGAGTCACCGGAAGACTCAATTTCGTACGCATAAAATGTACTTTGTCGCATAAAATGGAAATACATAGTCCGAGAAATTATTTTAGATTTACAGTTAAAATGGCTTCGAGTGCAAAGGGTTAAATGACTGTACATAGTCTCATAAAAATAAGCGCATATTTATTTGTCAGATTTTCAACGATTTCAATCATAACGCATGTCCACGAAAACGAGTCTGTTGAATAAATTCCCTCTGATGTACCTTGAAAATCTCTTCAACGATCGTTAATTCAAAAATTCGATACACGTCATTGTGACGCATTCCGTGTACCCAGCGTTAATCAGTGACGCGTGATTCGATGTAAGACGCGGTTACGTTTAATCAGGAAAAATCGTCCGCACGGTTGGTCTCGCCGCCGAATTCGATCTCCCTTCGACTTTATGCTAATGCCGGGCCGACTGTATGCACATGTCACTCCGGATCGTAGACGGAATTTGTTAAAGTTCGTAGGCCGTTGCGACACGCACGCACGCACGCACGGACGTATCCTCATTGCGTGCGACGCGTGTGATCAATAAATCGGGTTGTGCAGCACGCACACACGGGACCGCCGGCTGCGTGTGTACACGCACGTTGGTGCCACGCACACTGTTCAATTCCGCCTAAAACTCAGCCCGTACCCCCGAGGACCGTTTCTTTTTCGATCTGACTCTCCGCGGCAACGTGGTAAAACCGAATAGAGGGACCCGCAGGTCAGAACGTTCACGGTGCATAAAATTTCCCTGGCCGACCGGCATTCGTTCGCCTAACCGATTATTCAGGGCGCCTGTATGGGCGCCTGCAGCAACGAACAATTCCTTGTCTAGCCACAGAATTCTCAAAAGATCCGCGGCAAATCGTGTAAGCGAGATGCAGTCGATCCTGTGCGTCGAAAGATTTCTATGCCGCTTTGGAAAGTCTCACGACGAACATCTTCGGGAAAAAGGAAAGCTCTGCTGTGCATAGAGATTCGGTATTAGAGATAGAAGAATCTTCTTTCCAGCGTTGTACAAAATCGAAATTTCGTTGGCGACTGTGATTCTTTATTTTAATCGTTCCAAAATTCCACGACTCTTCGTGCCGCTCTCCTATCATCCCACAGACTTTCCGTTCCGTTTTTGATAAACTCGATACGAAACTTCCTGGACGCGAGAGAGCACGATGTCGGACACGTAATAAATGTACGCACGTGCATTATCTCGCGAAGTAATACATGCTAGCGGTTCGTGCATATTTGTTTGCACGTCTAGACAATTCGCGCACGAAAGAAAAAAGATCGGGAGAAATGAGACGCGAGAATTGTATGATCTAAGAGTCTCTCTGAAAAATCATATTGCATTTGCTGCTTGACGTGTAAGAAGAATTGTGTGCTTGTGCGGAACGCGTGCACGAACTTTTAATTAAGTTTTACCGTGCTCGTTAATCTTCCAGTTGTTTCTCAATGAAATTTTGACACAGTGAAA